TGAAGAAATTAATCTCTTCAAGCTGAGGCGCGGATATCTCACTCTCTTTAAGGAGATTCAAGCCCACTGCAACAAATGTTTTCACCGGTCCAGCAGTAGTCCTCTTTGACTTGTCCCCTCCAGGATACAACAGCCTTTACAAAGTATAACTCAACAACTCTGGACAAGAGTTGAGTCCAAAGCTCCACAAAAAAGAACACCCCCCTTCAACTAATAAGAACTCTCTTTTAGACTAACTCTTTCACTCTTTGTTTTCTCTTATGTTTTGTGTATCCCAAACCAAATGAAGACCACCACTATTTATACTACAAAAAGTCTTCCTAGCAATGAATAGGAAGATAATGGAGGTAGTAAATAGTGAAAATAATGGCCTTAGGAGTTTCATAGGTTACATAGGTTACAATAGGAGTTACATAGGTTACAAAGAGTAATGGAGGAATTACGAATGAAATAAAGTGATGGACAACCAATGCTAATGGATGATGTAGAAGTTATACATTCCAATGTTTATTGGAATGTTTTTATCTCACAATGAATTCAACCAATAAAGTCAAAAGTAATGGCATTACATGGCTACCAAGTCAAAGATAAATAACATGATTAAATTGGTAGTTTAAAACACAAATGCCTACCAATAGTCATTCTTATAACTCCAAAATAAAGCAATTTAATATGTTAAATATTAATATTAAAATGTTAATAACCTAATATATTATGACATGCATGCTATAACATAGTTGAATAAGCTTATTTCTATGCAGATTTTGTTATTTTGCTTGGTGATTGAAAGTTTCTGCTGAGTTCGTATCAATTTATTCGTGATTTGCAATTATAGTTAGATCTCTATCTTTGTTTTTGTTTTTATGTTTAACCATGTTGTTTGAATATATTGTGATGAATTCTTGCTTCTTGTGGAAGCAAGGAACTCATTACTTGTTTTTTAAAAAATTAAAAAAGATGTCTTATATCTACGTACTCTCTAAATTTCAATGTGTTTTATATTGTTATTTTATGTATTTTAAATGTGGTTATACTTATATTTTGATGCATGCTTCATATGAAGATCTAACTGAGCTAATTAATATGCTTGATGGATTATAATTAGGTTTATTGAAATTAACATAACATAAATAGTGTGTTTACTTGTTTAAACTTATTTGAGTACTTTTTTAATGTGTTACTTTGTAATAGCAAAATTATAATATGAACTACTTTAATACTTGTAATAAAATATCAAGATTAAATCTAAAGTTTTAAATATATCTAGAACATAGCCCTGGATTGCATATACATATTAATGTTTATAATAAAATAATATCAACATGTAGTTCCATTGCATATAATGAAATAATATGATACTATCTGTAAAGCACACTCGATTACTTAAGTGTGGAAGTGTTCACCATATGCATAAGTGTAGTATCTCTCTCCATTGTTTCAGACTTTGCCACAAGTTCTATAATTTAAGAACTGATTTGCCATAGTCAATAAAATAACATACCTCTAAATGATTACATAATATACCAGCAACTTCATCTGAATTATTTTATAATGATTATCAACAATAAAACCTGATATATAAAAACATCCAAAAGAATTGGAATATCACAATAGATTTTGGAACACTTCTTTATATATTGCATTTATAGCCTCATCAGTTAACTGACCATTATCATTGTAACTCATTATTTTAAATCCCTTTCTACTTGTTACTCTAGAAACAACTGCATAAAGTTTTTCATGGGCAAACACTGTTTTCTTTAATAAAAATCCAACATGAGATAAAGACTGTCCTTGGCTCTTGTTGATTGTCATGGCAAATGATACAATTCTAAGAAATTGTCTTCTTTGAAACTTAAATGGGATTCTAGAATCTGAAGGTGTTAAAGTCATTCTTGGAATAAATACCTTCAGTCCAGCCATCTGTCAGATAAAACCTTCGCTTCAATTACTTGATTTCCAAGTTTAGTAACAATCAATCTAGTTCCATTACATAATACTGTTGTCTGATCAATATTTCTTAGTGATATCACTGGAACTCCAACTTTTAAATTGATTGAATGATTAGGAACTCTAGAACATTTAATAGTATCCAAAAATTCTGGTGTGTGTACATGTTCCAAAGCTGAATAGGTATGATCAAACTTGCATAATTTGTCAGAACTCAAATATGTTTCTTAGGACTATGATTTAAGGAGATCATATATTGATTGATTGATTCCACTATATCAAGAGTCGGAGCTAGAATGACTCTTTGTTGTACATATCCAACATCATCGCAATTATTACTAAAATCTGGATACATACTTTCCACAATAGCTGCTATTGGATCAATACACTCAGTTATCAGAAGATCCATTCGTATTACAACTTTATCAATACTATCAAATGAATTACCAATGCTACCATCCCGAAATGTCAATATCCAATCAAAAAACTCTTTCAACCCCTTTAAGTCAGTATCACTGTCACTGTTTTGCAATCTCATATTCTTTGTCAATGTTAATAATTCACAATGGGCCCCATAAATATAAAGAGTTGATAATTGCATTAACAATATCTTGCCGGCTACCTTTTGCGATCAATGGTAGAATTTTTCTGAAGTCACCTCGAAAAATAACTATTTTACCACCAAATGGTAATTCTGACTTAATTCTCTCTTTGTAGCCAATAATATCTCTTAAGGTCTTATCAAGAGCTCCAAAACAATGTCTACGCATCATTGGATCCTCATCCCAACTAATCAACTTAGTCTTGATTATTAAGTGTGCTAAAGGAGTACCTTAGTTGTTTTAAATGGTATGTTGAATATTCAGTTATATTTAGCGGGATAACAAATCTAGAATGTGTTGTTCGTCCACCTCGTAATAAAAGAGATGCAATTCCGCTATATGCAACTGTTAAAACAACATCTCCTTTGGATCGTATGACTGCTGATAGAGTCTTCCAAAATCCATCCATATTTTCATTGACTGTTGCCATAATTTTTTTTATACACTGCTTTCTACTCGTCGGTTAAATTTAATATCAATTGTTGATGTTCATCACCTAATGCTCGTTTATTGTAACAGATTTCATCACAAATTAATGTATTTGTAATGTCAACATAATCCTCAGTGTATACAGTATCGACATTGTAGAAAAGTCCGAAAAACTTCTTCCACAACTTTTTAAAAAACTTTCTATCTTTTGCAAGCAACATTTCTTTAAATCAACATCTAATAGATACGCTTCTGAAAATAAAATATAAATATATATTAAAAATTAATATTTAAACATCTATGTAATAAACTAATAAGTCAAACAAATATAATATAGAATTCATGATAAAATTAGATTAATTTAAATTTAAACATTATTGGATACCCGGGTTATCTAGTACTCTTCTTTCTTCATAAAGAATATCTTAAGATAATTAATGGCATGTTGATTGTCAAACAACTTCCGGACGTGACATAAATTTGATAGAAGTAGTATAGCAAATAATTATCTTAAATATAATGGCATTCTCCAATGACTTACTTCTACTATAACATCAACATATTCTTTGTCATCATCTAATAATCCTACAGCATAACATGCATCTCTAAAAGTCTCGTGATCTACATCATTTATTCTTCTGAGATCTTAATATGAAGTGGGACCTCTAACAATATTCAATAACAATCTAACATAATATTGCTCACTAGATCCCGGTGGAACAAAGAAAGTTCTTCCAATTGAAAATGTAGAATGTTTTATTTTATCCTATCTTTATGATTGTTGTTTCTAGACAAACTTTAAAGAAAATTATGCATAGGTTAAATCGCTTGCTTCAGGAAATTCCTTGTTTGCTTCAAACCAACTTAAAAACTTTGATTCCCTTACGGTTTGTTTGTTGATGGCAACATCAATTGGATCATCATTTGAAAATAAGATATTCTAATTGCCTGATAAATGAAAAGATAACCTTTCTACAAAAGGTTAACCATGGTGGATTGAAAATTTAAAGATTCTCCAAACTGTTTCACATGGTGATATATACTGACATCCACAATACATATTTATTTCATCGACCCCTACTTGATATGAAGTATTCGCACTACCTCCAAAAGTAGTTGTAACACGGTCATGACCTTTATTTACATACTAGATCAATATAAAAAAAAAGCAGGTTCTAGGGCAAGTGAATTTGAAAGCAGTCTCTTTTAAAGAGAGTTAGAAAAGCCAATCCAGTTGTTTCCTTGTTAATTGACCTTTATTGATTACACCATTCGACATTATTATGCGCCCCATATTTCAATAACAAAAATCTAATGTGTGATATAATATATTCATTATCCAAATCAATAAATGATCTCTTTGTAGATCTGTCATCATCTCTTCATCTATATACATGATATCCATCCTCATCAATTGAGGTAGAAGAAATAAACCTGTTTAGAAAATGTTTAGAACATTTTCCATTTTGCATGCAAGGAGATGAATTTCTTACTGAACCACATGGGACATGCATCATAAAGTTTGTAACAGCAACATTATAATCCGAATCAAGTAATTTATTTGATAATTCAATTGAAATAATACCATCTATATCACCAATATTTGGAGATTTATTATGTTGAAATACCAAAATATGGGCATGAAGTAAGCATAAATCACTGCATAAAAGGATAAATATGATATGATATGTTTATTACTGATTTGGAGTTAAAATAAACAATTATTATGTTATAATAATAAGGCAATATATACCTGTTTTTACTTGTCCAAAAATTTTGTTGTCACGCAAATCCTTTATCAGGTGATCTATTTGACTTTAAAGACTCTTGTTATAATGTCTGTCCGATCTTCTCGATCCAATCCCCTACTCTTCACAGTTTTTGTGGTCTCAGGCCATTTAGGATTGCAAGTAAATGTAATAAGTAGAGTAGGATATCCGGCTCATTTACATATTGCCATCGTGTCTTGATAATTTTGCAACATGTAACGTGTACCTCTAGTGAAAGAAGAAGATAATATTACTCGTTGTCTTTGAGAAGAAGGTTGAGTGTCTCCCTGCGAAAAACTTCTTGTAATCCCTTATAGAAGTCAGCTCCCAAATTTGTTTGATGGAGCATATAAAATAACAATCGTGAAGATTCTATCGTTGTATATCCATCAACACAGAATTGTTGAAATAACCTTTTAGCTGATATAATTGCTAGTACTTCATTCTGTCTTTCTTGAATTTTGTATGAAAAATATTCAAGAGAGCTAACATATTTCCTTCCATCAGCTGATTCATCAATTCCATTTAAAAAAATATGTTCTCTATATCCATCTTCACCAAATGGATAAAGTAATGAATATTGCAAACCTAAGTATGCTGCATTCAATTCACTTATTCTCTTAAGTTGTCCAGAATGACTTTCAATTATTATATCTCTATCTGAACTATTTGGTTCAAAATCACCAACCACCAAAGCTGCTACCTCAGAAATTGTTGGCAAATTGTACAATTTTCCATCTGATCCTCTTTTTTCTACCAGTCTTAGTTTAACATCAACATGTTGATCAATTTTAAATCTATCTCTTACCATATGAAAAGATTTTTTAAGCACATTGTGTTTATCTAGCATTTCCTTGAGATCATTAACAATTTGAGCATGAACTTGATTGTTACTTTTCCTACGACTAAAAAAGAAAAAATTATATATAATAGTGATTAATAATTACAATTATATTTAACATTGTAAAATTAATATATTATATAAATCCTTACCTGATAACATTCAGGGGCGGAGCCACGTAGGCTCCAGGATGTTCAATTGGACACCATTCGTCGAAAAAAAATCCCTAAATATACATGTAAAATTTTGATTTAATATTGGTATATATAAAAGTTGGACCCCCTAAAATAACTAAACAAGACGCAGTCGAGTTGGCAATGGCTGGCCGCATCCCTACACTTTGTCCAGGTTCATTTTTATAGTTATTTTTGTCTTCTTGAATTTAATTAATTAAAGAGACATGCATAATTTTAGCATAAACGTTTAGTGGCTTGTTGGCTAATTGTGTCATGAATACCTCCCTTGACACAAGGTCGAATCCCCCCTAACACTAACTTTTTTTTTCCAATTAAAATTGAATTGTTTCCTTAAATTTCAATATCTTTTCACTATGGAATAAGGTTTCCTAAAATTTAATGTTTTTTCCTTGTGGATTTTTTTCAACTAAAATTGAATTGTTTCCTAAAATTTTAATACCTTTTTCTTGTAGAATAAGATTTCCTTAAATTTTAATACCTTTTCCTTGTTGAATAAGATTTCCTTAATTTTTTTTTAAAAAATTCTTATGGAATAAGGTTTTCTGTATCTATAAATACAAGACGGAATTTTCCAAATTATATCACCATATTATTAAGAATAGAATCTCAATAATTCTCTCTCTTTTTCTTCTTCTCGTTCTTTTATTGTATAACAAAATAATTAACTTAATATTTTAGTTTCAAGTGTCAATGGACATGAGAAATTATTATAATAGAGTACCAAAAAAAAGTTCGACTTCTCTAAGTCAACCAAATAAAGAAACAACGATAGATCAATTAGAGATGTTGTCACATTCTTCTAAAAAACAAAGCATTGATTTAAATACTCTAGAAGTTGATTCAGAAAAAGCTTCAATTTTAATCATGATTTAAATCTTCGTGATGAAATAAGAAGCGCATACCTTAAACTTGGTCCTTGTCGATCAAATATTAAAGAATACCCTCAATCATATATTGGTAAAGCAATGCGTCGTTTCAACCCTGATTGGTATCAAGCGTATAACTTGTTAGAGTATAGTGAGAGTGCATATGCAACATATTAAAAGGAATAATATTCATCAAGGTGGAGATGAAGTATTTTCAAAAACAGGATTTAACAATTGGCATAAAAAATGAAGCTTGACGAACATGTTGGTGGACCGAATAGCGTTCATAATAAAGCAAAGAAAAAATGTGATGATCTAATGCAACAAAGACAGTCCATTCGTGCTGCATTTGATAGACAATCTGATAAGATTCAAGGACTCGCTTAAATGCTTCAATTGATGTGATAAGATTTTTCTTGAATCAAGGGTTGCCACTTCGCGGTCATGATGAAAGTGAATCCTCATTGAACAGAGATAATTTTATTAAATTTCTTTCCTGGTACACAGATAGGTGTGAAAACATCAAACCGTTCGGGTTAGAAAATGCTCCATGAAATAACAAATTGACTTCTCAAGATATCCAAAAAAAAATTGTGACTGCATGTAAGATAGAAACATTGAAGTCTATAATGGAGGATCTAAATGGTGATTATTTTGCTCTATTAGTTGATGAATCTTTTGATGTGTCAAGTAAGGAGCAAATGACTATTTTTTTTAAGATATGTTGATAAAAAAGAATTTGTAATGGAAGCATTTATTGGACTTGTTCATGTTAAAGATACTAGTGCTATATCTTTAAAGAAAACACTTGTTAATGTGCTTGATGTACGCAGACAATGTTATGATGGAGCAAGCAATATGCAAGGTGATATCAATGGTCTTAAAATGTTGATTAAGAAAGAAAGTAAATCGGCTCATTCTATTCATTGTTTTGCTCATCAACTTCAACTAAATCTTGTCACGGTTTCAAAAAAATGTTTTCAAGTGGGAGAACTTGTGCTATTGGTTTCAAATATTTTGAATGTGTTGGGAGATTCTTTTAAGCGAATGGATGAACTACGACAATCTCAAAAAGATAATCTTCAAAAGACATTAGATATGGATGAAATAGAAATAGGTTGAGGCTTAAATAAAAAACTTGGCCTTATTAGAGCCGGTGATACTCGTTGGGGATCTCACTAAAAAGCATTTCAAAACTTTTTACTTTTGTTTGACTCTATTATTGATGTACTTGATACACTTGTTGAAGATGCAAATACTTTAGATGAAAGAGCTAAAACATCAGGATATCTTAGAAGTTTTCAAACTTATGAGGTTGCTTTCATGTTACATTTGATGAAGGATATTTTGAGAATCACTTATGATCTTAATATATCACTATAGAAAAGGAACAAGATATTGCAAACGCCATGATACTTATTGAAGTAGCCAACAAAAGACTTCAAAAACTAAGAGATGATGGATGAGAGCCACTTATCAATAAAATATCTTTGTTTTGTATCAAACATGACATCTTGATATCTAATTTTGATGAGCCATATGCTAACTCTGGAAGAGAACGACGTAAAATTGTTGATCATACTGTTTTACATCATTCTCGTGTGGAAGTATTTTATAAGATCATTGATTGTTAACTCCAAGAACTTAATGATTGTTTCAATGAGGTGGCAAGTGATTTATTTCATGGAGTATCTTGCTTGAATCCAGTTAATTCATTTTCTAGTTTTGACATAGGAAAAATAATGAGAATGGCTGAACTATATCCTGATGACTTTGATCAATTTAGTATGGGCGTCCTTCAAAATAAGCTTGCCAATTACATTATCGATGTACGAGATACTCATAAAAGATTCTCTGATTTAGGTGGACTTGGTGAACTTTCAAGGAAATCAGTAGAAACAAAGAAAAACTTAACTTATCCATGTATGTTTCGCTTAGTGAAATTTGCTTTGCTTTTACCAGTTGCTACTGCAACAGTCGAAAGAGTTTTCTTGGTAATAAAGTATATTAAAAATGACTTGCGAAACCGAATGGATGATGAGTTTTTAGACGGTTGTATAGTGCCTTATGTAGAAAAGAAAGTATTTCGTACTATTTCTAATGAGTCTATTATAAAAATATTTCATGATATGAAACCACGTCGAGTACAAAAAATATTTTTGAATCATGTTTTTAATAGTAATTGTTTTTATGTTAGTTTGAATTATACACTTGTAATTCTATTAAAAATATTCTTATATTCAATTAAATATTGTTTAACTTGATTATTGTTTTGGTAGATTAAATTATCATTTTATTTTTATAAAAAATACTATTAAAAATTTGGACACCCTTGATGAAATTCCTGGTTACGCCACTGATAACTTTAATTCTATTTTGCACCTCATTATATATATATATATATATATATATATATATATATATATAGAGTTGTGCAAATCTTGGAGTAGATCCCTCGATAGGTAATAAGCTTCCAATTTTATGATAATTATATCCAGATAATCTGAATGTACTTGACCCTTTTGTTTGATTGACATATGCATCAATTTTTCCTCCCATTAATATAAATGAAAACATGGAATTATAAGTTGTGATATTCTCTCTGAAATGTCGACTTTTGTCATCTAAAATAATTTTATATTATTCAAATATTTTAAAAGAATATATTCTATAATTTGATAAATAATTACAATTACCTGATCCAAATAATAATTCCTTTAGAAGTGTAGGAGAATCCTTTGGATTTGGAAGCTTTATTTTTTCCTTGCTACAACACAACGTGAAAACATGTTTTATTTATTTATATCTCTTCTCAATTCTTTCTTCATACCAAAAGTGTGCACCAAAATGTTCACACTCATAAGTAGGATCGCCCATATCCCAAAAATCTAATAATACTTTATTTCAAATTTAAAGTTAGAATGTAATTACTTATAGTATATAAATAATAAATTGAATTATTGATGAAATGTAATATTGAAGCAAATACCTTTGTTATAAATCATACCACCTTTATTTTCATTCCATACAAATATAATAATAAAATATTAAAAAACAATTTCAAAATTTTAAACATTAATAAATTATAAGAACATAAATGTGTTTAAGTGTAGATTCATACCTTCAAGCATATCTACATATTTATTTTCAGTAATATCTTGCTCATTTGATTGAATGTTAGAATGTTCCACCGCCAACAAAGGTGAAAATGCATTCTCATCCACCATTATATGTTAGATTGCCTAGAATATGAAGTAGAACTACTTGACAAATCTAGCATAAAGAAATATGAATTAATTAACGAATAAAACCTAGTTAAAGTGTTTCTAGTACATTAAAAAAGAAACTAAATTAAGAAAACAATAGAAAGATATGAAACATCTAACCATTGGATATTACCTTTAGTTATTGTCTTGCTGGAATATATGTAAGTTATAGGTTCATTAGATTAGTGTTTGATTAGTTCAAACATTCTTGTTAGTGATAACCTTTTTTATAATTAAATATGACATTTATATTTTGGTTTTATGAGAAAACTATATGTTGGTATGTTAGTAACATGTTAAGGGGGTTCTAGCTTTACTAATGAACATGTTAAGGATATTTGTTTAGTGATTAGGTATTTAATTGTGTTTTCAAAGGGAAGGACGATATAATCACTCATTTTTTTTGTACTGATTTAGTTAAATGGTATAACAATATTCATTTTTTTGCTTTTATGGTTTGCTAATAGGTTAGAAGTTGAGTGTGTGTGAATTTGAAAAATGTGTGCTATCTAGTTTTTGAGTAAAATATTACCTAATATTTGATTTACTTCAATTATTATATTATTTTATCCGTCTTTTGTCGCTGCTATGTTCGATTTTCATGTTTGATTTTTCCTAATTTCTTACGTGAGCCTAGTGTCTATTAATAAAATATACTCTCTACTTGTAATGTCCAAAATCTATTAGTCGGATTACAATGAATGTATTATTGTTTTTATTGTTGTAACGTGTTTGTGTATAAGTATTCCCTTAAGAATATACTAATAGTTATTTGTTTTGATTTTAAAAACTACATAATTTGAAAGTAGATGATGGTTCCAGAAGAATGAAGTTCTAGGAGGAATTTGGTATATCATTAATTTATGGAAATTAAATTACAGAATGCTGGTCAATTCTACCGCTAAAAGGTAATTACTAAGGCACCCATACTTCAGGCGATTTTTATGAATAGTCAACTGTACTATGATATAGAAAAAAGATATGAAAAATAACTTAACTTTCATCTCAAATGAGATTAAAGATCTAGAACAGTTGAATAGGTTTTGATTTATCTTGTTTAGATCTATTTATAATTTGACATTACTTTGCTTGAAATGATCAAGTGAGTAAACCAAATGTTAGCTATTTTGTTTTGTTAAGTTATCTGTTAGATTAACTATCATTTTTCCAAATGATGACTATTGAAAAATTGCTTAAATAGTCCAACTATTAATTTGCTAAGTTGCTAAGGCTTACAACTAATTTTAAGTTCATATATTAATCTTGGAACTCTCACACAATGCAATAGACATTTTATATGTTGTTTCTCTTAGAAAAAAAAATGATATGCTCTTCCTGCTGATTGAGGGGGTCTACCAATATACACATTTATCTAATTATGCAAGTAACGTTTAACTGATCATATATTATTGTGAATGTTTTTTTGTAATAAACATACATTTGGATTTATCATAGTGATAAGAGACTATAAATATAAACATTTATTGGATATTACCTTTAGTTATTGTATTGTTGGAATATATGTAAGTTTATAGGTTCATTAGATTAGTGTTTGATTAGTTCAAGCCTTCGTGTTAGTGATAGCCTTTTTATTAATTAACTATGACATTTATATTTTGGTTTTATGAGAAAATTATTGTTGGTATGTTAGTTAACATGTTAAGGAGGTTCTAGTTACTAATGAACATGTTAAGGATATTTGTTTAATGATTAGGTATCTAATTGTGTTTTTTCACAGGAAAGGAATATATACTCACTGATTTTTGTTGGTACTGATTTAGTTAACTGGTACAACAATATTCATTTTTTTTAATGTTTTTATGGTTTTGCAAATAGGTTAGAAATTGAGTATGTGTGAATTTGAAAATTGCGTTATATCTAAATCTTTGATTTAAGTATTACTTAATATTTGATTTACTTTGGTTATTATATTATTTTATCCGTTTTTTCTCACTGCTATGTTAGCTTTACATGCTTGATTTTTCCTAATGTCTTACGTGAGCCTAACGTCTATTAAGAAAAAAATAGTCTCTACTTGTGATGTCCAGAATTCATTAGTCGGATTACAATGAATGTTTTTTTTTGTTGTAACATGTTTGTGTATAAGTATTCCTTTAAGAACATACTAATAGTTATTTGTTTATCTTATTATTTTTTCTTCTTATTTCTAGTAAACTTCTGATTGCAGTTACCAAATATGTATTGATTTAAAAAACTACATAACTGATAAGAGATAATGGGTTCCAGAAGAACCAAGTGATAGGAGGAATTTGATATATCATGGATTTGTGAAAAATTAATTTACAGAATGCTGGTCATTTCTACCACTAGAAGGTAATTACTAAGGGACCCATATTTCAGGTGTTTTTTTATGGCCAGTCAACAATATTATGCCATAGAAAAAGGATATAAAAAGTAACGTAATATTCATCTCGCATAAGATTAAAGATCTAGAACAATTGTAGAATTTTTATTTATCTAGTCTAGATCTGTTTATAATTTGACATTATGTTGCTTTGAATGATTAAGTGAGCAAACCAAATTGTTAGCTATTTTGTTTTGTTAAATTATATGTTAGATTAGCTATCATCTTCCAAATGACGAATATTGAAAAATTGCTTAAATAGTCCTTCTATTAATTTGCTATGCTGCTAAGGCTTACACTAATTTTAAGTTCATATGTTAATCCTAGAACTCTCACACAATGCAGAATATATTTTACATGTTGTTTCTCTGAGAAGAAAATATAGGTTCTTCCTGCTGATTGAGGGGGTCTACTAGTATTTTATACTAGTTTATCTATTTGTGCAAGTAATGTGCAAAAATTTGAAGCAACCCATCTATAATGGAGGGTGG